GGGCTCAACGATGGCAATGGTCTGTTTCGAATCGTGGAAGGCTCCCACAAAATGACGAGGGGCAATATAGATCGTACCGAAGCTACACCGATCTGTCTTCGACCAAATGAAATATTAATTATGTCCGCCGAACTAACCATAGAGTATCCGCAGACCGGGGGAGGGGTTGGTGTCTGGATGCCGGTATCCCGTCGAGAAGGAAATCACATCCGCTAGTATTTATCTTCCTGAGAAACTCATTGCTTTGAAGAAACTTGAACCAAGCATGGATATCAGTTATTATTCTCTTGATTCATATCATACCCCCAGGACGGCGGTTCCTAATATACTTAATGTGCTATACAGATCACTCTGTGCTGAAGAGAGGATCGAAGAGTGGATCGAAGAGTGGATCACAACCTGAACCACCGTAGAGCATCGGATCGTAAGCCATATTTTCGTCCTCCGGCATGTAAAACTGGCGGTACATCTCGTCCACCCTCTTGTAGTTATACTGTAGAATATCGCAGATGTCGCGTAGTCTGGAAGCATGTTAGCACTCGTCAACCGCAGATTAACAGACGGACTCACGAAGTGGATTGGTCACCCAGGCGTTTCAGGATACACGGAATAGAGATCGGTATCCACCCGGGTTCTTCCTTCGGAGCTGCCCCGGTTATTTTCTTTCGCTCAGTGAAGTATTCAACACTCGCCTTATCTGAGGAAATGCGCCCGTAGTAGCTTATATCTCGGTCGTCTATGACGGGTTAGCGGGTAGTTTCCAACCGATCCACAACCAATTCAGACGGAAGCGCACTTAGAAAGAAAATCTCCTCCGCTCGACTGCCCCATCCATTCTCAGAGAGGATCCTAATGCATGTGTTCACCCAGCGGATCCCACGGCGATACACTTCCAGGTTTCTATGCTTAGTACGACTGATTTGCTGCATTATAGTATCGACAACGTCTACCGATACCCCCATCTTGAGCATTATTTCACAATTTAAGACGACAATAAACTTGCGAAAGCGCGCCGTCCTCAGACCAAGCTTTGACTCCACGTCCAAGCACCCCGTCTGAACAGCGTACGTATATGAGTTCGCCGCCCATGTGGAAAATCGCGAACGATTAGGGATGGGCGATGGTCGTAGTCTACTCTCTTCAGTTTCACGCGGTCGGATTTTCCCAGAAGTATATCATCGCCGTGTGGTTTTCTTCGATGATACTATTGCC